TTGATATTTCTTGGCAAATGATAATACTTCGCTTACAAACTCTTGCCGTCTGCCCTAGAATATTTAAATTTTGGTTTAATTTCAAATAATAACAAAGAAGAATTATAATCCTTACTGGAACAATTCCACCCCGCTGTTGTATAACTAACAACTTCATACGTGGTTCTTCGTATACTAAACAAAAGAGTTAGTGCGAAAAGCAAAATTTAGTTGCACAAAGAAAATCTTACATCTTTAGTAAGCAGTATTTTACGTTTGATACACTTAACCGCGCAATACATCTTATCAAGAGAGATAGATATTTCTGTAAATGAGCCTTTTTACTAAAACAAAATTTACAAATTAATTACCTTCACAAGGAAAAGCCAAATTTTCTGTAAAACTACTGTTCTCTTTTTGTTGTGATTCATTCGTAAAATACGGATCATAACCAACCACGGGTTCTACACAGGTCCAATTTAAAAGCATTGAACTTTTCATTTTTAAACTGTTTATGAGAATGTCAACGGCAATCTGACCAATATGACAATGACATACTGATGGCTAGATTAAAAGGAATACAACTTTTTTCAAAAAGTAATTGAGCAAAATAAAACACTTACCATTAGCAGTGTGTATCCATTCCAGTTATGCTGCTGATCAGTTTCCATACTGTTCGACGACATTTTAAATATCTAAAACCATTTAAATTGTAACGGAAGTTAGAAAAAGACAAAAATGTTATAAGACCTGTTAATATAAAATTTGTTCAAGCTAATCAGTAGAGATATGTTCTTTGTCACAAACAATAACACTGACTAGTACGTTCAATGAGATGATAGAATTAGTAACAGCAAACAAAACAATTACATTTGGAATAGATCTGCATTTATCCAATTCTGTTATTATCTTTTATTAAATGACAAAATTAAATAAATCAAGATGTATTTTTTTGTCTCAACACTTCTTCAATCACTAATACATAAACATAACATTCAGTGGGTATACACTTTTAAGATAATGTTCTACTAATCACTTAGTTCATGAGAATTATGTCAATCAGGATTAAACTGTCCACTTTCACAAATCTACAAGTCAGAACGTAGTTAAGTGTACTAATTATTTCACTTCCATTTCATGGTTATTCTCAATGTCACAGATGATGAGCAATGGAAAAAAAATGGTTTCAAATTAGAAGCTAAAATGTGAAGCGTATGCAGAGATGCTAGATTCAAAATCTGAAAATCAGAACATACTCTTCTTCTGTTAGAATAATTAAGCTTGTCTAATCTTATAACATACTAAATATCTTTCTATCTCTGTATTTTTCTCACCGAAAAATGTCTAGTTTTTGAGATCAGTATATGCACAGTATGCCAGTTGATGGAACTCAATCGATCACGCTCAAGTCATAACTCTTCACTCATCTGCAGAGTTGAAAACGTCTTCTTTTGTAGCTAAAGTATTTTCCTTTAAATGAGCTGGGATCTCTGAGCACAAATCAGTTATCAATTTCTTAAGAGTGTACTAGAAAATGAAATAAAGGATAATAAATCGTAGAGATAGACATATTAACTTACAACTGAGTAACAGCATGCTACACTTTATTTCGCGTTTGAATAAAAGTACATATAAATCGAAACTAATATTTATCATTACATTTATCAGTCTAATTCGTTACTCATTCGTTTAACTTTATTGGAATATTACAAATCATTTGTTCAGAAATTGATGAATTTCTCCATTAATTAACATTGAGTGGAGGGATAAAAAAGTTTCAGTTCAGTTCTTATGAACAGTAACTGATTACCTGTTTTCGTTCTAAGAACGGAAACTACTGAACGTTCTGTTCAAAAGAAACGGGAACTGGTTACCAGTTCTTTTCAAAAATTTAATGTAAAATAAAACTGGTGAAGTTAGTTACATTGACTTTGTTTAGTCCACTAAACATACCACCTACCTTTAGCCCACTAAAAGTCAATGTAACTAACTTCACCAGTTTTATTTTACATTGAATTTTTGAAAAGAACGTTCAGCAGTTCCCATTCTTAGAACGAGAATGGCTAACCAGTTCTTTCCACCAGTTCTCAGGCATTTTAGGAACTGGAACTAATTGAGTGCGGTCACGTTTTCTTGAGCAATTGTCTACTTTTCATTTAAAAACGAATATTTAATGATTTATCTCATTGGCCTTGGTGAGCGCATGTATTGACTGAATAGACAGAATACAGATTCAATATCAAGTTGAATTTTTCGGTGCGACTGCTTACCCAACAGAATATGAGTTGTTTAATCTATAATGATAAAAATAAAAGGATATTTATGACAAATACAAATATAAGATCGTTTCAGACATTTTAGTAAATGCTACTATTACTACGTAACAGTAACGGAATCAGAACAAAATTGAGGTACATGTTTTTAGTTATATCTGAATGTTTCGTTGAAATTTTTACGCAGAAATAGATCTACTAAAATACGGCTGTACGGCGATTCTGACTCACTGAAAGTCTGTTTTTAATAGAGTATGGTATTTTTTCTTCGGTTAGCGAGTTGTTAGGTAGTTGATTTTTTGAGGGTTGAAAGTACCATGTCCTTAAAAATAATATTTCACGAGTTCTATTAAAACTGGCAATATGATAAGACGTAAACTTTTTTTTGATAACTGACCCGATATCTACCATAGTGACCAGATTATGAGTTGCCATCTTGTTCTACTCACTGGATGGGGCAAAAGAAGCATACAGATTTCTAGTCTGATTAATTTTCCTTTTACTACGCCTTTTAATCTCATCAGACTATCCCAATTAGGTCAAATCCAATATCTTCTCTTTCCAGCGAAGGTAAACACGGAGTATATGAAGTTTTTCTTTAAACAAGTTTTATTTTCCGAAATTTCCAACTGACAAAACATTCAATATTCATGTTGAAATAGATTTTACAGCTGTTTCTTATAGGGGCTTGAGAAAAGAATCGATGTTTGTCAGAAGCATCGTTTATTGTTCATTGAGCCTGAGATTCATTCCACTTTCATCAGAGTGTCATTTCATTTCACTTTTCTGTACATCTAACAAAAGATGCAAAACAGATAAAAGTTTAATTCAAATTTATTTTCTTGTTTTAATTGTTCGAATGAGTGCAATGCTTATTGTACAGAAATCTACACGGATTGAAAAAAAATAAGTTCGAACTTGATCCGATTCCACGATTGGATCGTAGATGCATTAGAGTCTAGATTGCATGCATACCTTTGCTTTTTCAATGAAACAAAGCTTTTCTTCAGGTACTTATTATGCTGACACAAATTTGGTATAATTTTGATACTGTTAGTTTTCAAAACAGCATTGAACTGCTTATGTATAAAAAATTTGATGACTAGCGGACAAGTATACTCATAGAGTAATAAAAATAGAAAACTGTATACATTGCGGATGCTTTAGCTGATTTTAAAACTGAACAAATTTCGGAATATTGCAAGTAAGATGCACGTAAGGCAAAGATCGAGCAGAATTTAGTTTTCTATATCTTACACACCATTCGATAGAGAATAGCGCGCTAATCACGAATATATGTTCCCGGCCTCTCAAAGCCGTTTCCTAGCTGAGAAAATTGTAAAATACTATGAAGAGGTCAAAAACCCGGGTTTTCATGCCTTTTTTTAAATTTGAGTTTTCTAAGTTTGGTTACAACTTGGAACGTTCAAACTCAGATATTCTTGTTCAGCGTTGAAAAGTGAACTAGAATATGGAACAAAAGCCTTTATATATCTAAACGCCTATTCGCCAAAGACGTTAAAAGCGAAGCGACTAAAGAACAGGTCTCATTTTAGCAAAAACGGCAGGTGCTTTCTGGAGAGTCCCGGAGTCAATATTTTTACATAATTAGATTCGCCGGATGCTCCTCTTCAAAACAACGGCTCGCTTTTTTCAAAAATTTGTTTCATTCTTGAGAAAGTACATTTTTTCTTAATCAGAAGCGTAAAAATCGGAATAAAAAATCGCAATAAAAAATGAGTTCTGATGGAGAAAATAGAGAATTACGGGCAGAATTCCGATTTTTACGCTTCTGATTAAGAAAAAATGTACTTTCTCAAGAATGAAACAAATTTTTGAAAAAAGCGAGCCGTTGTTTTGAAGAGGAGCATCCGGCGAATCTAATTATGTAAAAATATTGACTCCGGGACTCTCCAGAAAGCACCTGCCGTTTTTGCTAAAATGAGACCTGTTCTTTAGTCGCTTCGCTTTTAACGTCTTTGGCGAATAGGCGTTTAGATATATAAAGGCTTTTATTCCATAAAATAATTTTAAAGCTAGAATAATACTTCAATCGACTTCATTCAACTGTTTCATTGTTGGTGTTAACTTGATATTTTGGTCTTTATGATAACGTTTACAAATAAACTAAAAAAAAGTAATAGAACTGATATTTTAAGATGGCATCATACATTAAATTGACAAAAATGAAACGACTATTGATGAACTACGAAATATGGTAGTATAATAATCTGAAAAGAAAAAAATGAGGTACATGCATGCTTACGACATATCTCCTTGTTATTCAGACACAGAAAAAACGTGAATGAAATTCAAAAATATCGATTGTTTATCATTTTTCTATTCAAATATAGTAATAAATAAATACAAAAAAACAAGAAGAGAAAGGTGGTCATTAATACAGAGAGATACCATATTTTTAATATAAAGCAAAAATCTTTTTCTTCACTCTTCAAAAGTATTAAAAAAAACTTTCAATTCATATTCATCAAAATGAAGAATATTCTGAATTAAACAGTAGACAGAGATCAAGATATTGGTGAATGGAATAATTAAATGAAAGAATCGGAATGTATGTCTGTGCAATTGGGATTGTGAAAACAAATAAAACAAAAGAATAAGTGTCAATTAACAAAAGCCGTAAACATCTAGTAAGAAATTAAAAAAAGAATGTACTAAAAACATTTAAATAAATAGTAAAAAATGTTCAAAAAATTCATATAGGTAGGTAAGTAGACTACACAACAATTATGCCAAGCCAAGATCTTCTAATACACTTCGTTTTTCTTCTAATTCTTCCTGAAATAATAATAATAATAATAAAAAAGATGATGACAATTCTGTTTGTTTGAGTTTTTTATTTATCTTTTTGTTGTTTGTCTAATGAGAGAAAGAAAGCCAATCCATTCAAATAACCTTTGATACAGATTATCTTTCATTTATTTATAAAATACAAAGACGCACAAAAACAAAAATAAACAACAAATTAAATAATAAACAAACTAATGTTGCATAAAGAAAAAATAATTTCAAGCAACAGCAAAATAATATACATAATTAACTTACTGTTCATCAATATCTGACCAAGCAAAAATAGTAAAGCTGGCTAATAGGTATAAGCTAAGAACCATAAGCAATACAAATACACACACACACATATAAGAAAAGCCGTTCACCTTTCAATACCATCACCATCCCCGATATGTAATCTCAATAGCTTTAGCTTGACAGATACAATGTAGTAAAAATCTTACAGGACAGTTATTTTCTCAACACAGTTAGATATTTTTGACCGATATTTAATCAAAAATGTATCGTATGAACAACAATTACAAATAATCGATTATTAGAAGAAAACTCGAGAAAGATCGTTAAAATATATATATTTTTTGTTTTTGTTGACTGATCTCACTCTAATAATCGATTAATGACAAAATACACATATTATTCAAACCATCAAGCAAAAACCAAATTCCATGCTAAGTTTTTAAATATTTTTCGATAATTTGTGTTTTTTTTTTTTTATTTAATAAAAACTAAGTTATTTGATATCGACCAAGAGTAACAACAGATAACATTTATTTGAAAAAACTTTTGTTAATATTGTTTATCGTTTTTTTTTGTGCGACGTGAATGTATCAATTAACCAAGTCCGTGATCTTCAAAGAAGCCCTGTGGTGTTTCTTCCTAGAACACAATGTAAGCAAGCCTTATCTATTATTAAAATTATTTCATATAAGGAGACATTACGAAAATAAGACATTTTTCAATAATATCTGATTATTAGACAGAATAAAAGCGTCCAATAATTTGTTATAAGTGATAGTATTTTGAATAAAGAATAATAAAATATATTTATTGACTGATATAACAAACAAATATTATACTTCATAGTTGAGATTGCCACAAAAAATAATTATTAATAAATAGTAGAATTGAAGTATCTGGGTATTTTTTTTGTTTTTATAAAAACATTCTAGGTATTCATTCTCCATCGGTTAACTGTAGGAACTATGTTGATTTTTATAAAATTATATAAATGAAAAAAAAAGTAGTAAATAGAATTTTTTTGTTAATTTAAAGAAAAAAGAAAGAAAGAAACAAAGAAAGAGAAATAGTTTATTAGATGATATAGTACCGGAACGAATATTTACGTTTTCTTCACATAAACAGTTAATAGCAATAGCAATTAAAGAAAAGCAAGTTTAAAAGAAATAATTAGCAAGCATTATGATAAACCGCAGGCGCCAATAGCATAGCATTCATTTAGAGAATATCTCCTTATACGCAAAAAAATGGTCAAAAAATATTAATGAAAAAAAAAAAACAAAGAATAAATTCATAAAGATTCGATATATAAAATAGTTCGAAAGTATCCAACTATAAAATTTCTCACATTTGAAAAACATTTCGTATCATTTTCTTTTCTTTTTTTTTTTATCATATGAATTATCAAAGAACAGAAACAATGATAACTGTGTATGCAAAGGAGCTCTATGGAACTTAAGCTTAAAACGAATTTAATACATGCAAAAAATATATATTTTTTTCAAACACGCACATGGAGAAAGAATTAGTTGTCAAATTCATTGAGAATGTATTTTTTGGTTTGTTTGTTTTGTCATGTTTCAAGTTAAACCGTATTCATAAAGTGTTTCTTCAATTAAATCAGCCTGAAAGCGGAGCAGGATTTTTTTACGTCATACACACTCCTTAGCAAATCATTTTAAAGTGAGTTAGCAGCATTTTTCATCATTTTTTTTTTATGATTATTTCTTTTTTTTTGTGACAATCTCAAATCAATGAATAGACTTGCTTTCTTTCTCTCTTTTTATGTAGCAATTGCTAACAAAAAACAAAAAACAAAAAAAAATACATACTTCTTGTATAACATCTTGATCATTAATTGCTTTAAGCACTGCTTTTTTACTCGTTTCTTGTATTTCACCACCAAGTATAAATTCATCAAACATAAAATAAGCTTTTTCAAAATTAAATATAATATCCAATTCACATACCTACAATGGCAAAAAAAAAAAATATTAATCAAATCTTATAAATCAGTCATTTTCAATACTATTTACACTTCCAAAATATTTGTCTAATAATTCGACATAACGATGAATTGTTTCAAGTGTTAATAATTCATTATCTTCTTGTTCAATACCACAACAAAAATATAAACTGGCATATCTAAAAAAAATAGAATATTGTAAAACAAGTTTTAATCTGGACAACAACAATAAAAACATAAATTTTTTTTTGTAAAATATACCGTTTATAGACAACTTTTAATTCTTTCCATTCAAGAAAACTTGACATTTTTGGTTTACGAGCTAATATTGTTGCAACTAATTCACGTGTAATTTTTTTCTTCGATTTATCCGTTTGTGCTGTATACCATTTTTGCAAACGTAATTTACCTTGACGACTGAACAATAAAATAAATTGAATCTAAACAAATATCAAAATAAACTGAAATATTTCATTCATATAGTAAAATAAAAAATGCTTACCATAGTACAAAAATTGAATAAAAAAAACAAAGAATATTTTATCTAAAATTGGACCGTCAACTAATATTAAAATAGATGTTACATGAACGAATCTAATGAAAGAAGAACAAGATATATCTGCAGGTTGAAGTTAAATAATCAAGTGAAAATTAACTTCAATTTCAATAGTCCATAAGTTCAAAGATAGAAAACAATATTGCTTTATTAGACAAATCAACATTCTTGGGAAAGGGAGAATGCATGCACAAATATTTCACCATAATAGTAAAAATGAATTAAAAACAACGCTAAATATTTATAAATGTAAAAAAGAAATGAATATGAACAAAACAAAAAAAGCACTAATTCATAACCGGTTGCATAAGAAGAAGAAGAAGCATCATTCGTAAATTCGTTGAAATGTTATTGTTGAACAGTTGTTCAAAAATGTATACTCCAAATATAATTTGATATACACAACACACGTTGAAAGCAAGAGCTTTAGTTTATTTGAAAACAAAAATTAGCCATACCTAAGTAACAAAAACAAAACAAAAAAAAAAAAATCACTTATTAACATAGTTTAATCTATTGAAAATAAAAGTATAATTATAACGAGAATTTTATAATATCTGAATAAGCGAATAATTTCGCCATATTCTATATCATTTTTTGCTAAAAAATTAAGTTTCACATTTGAATCGAAAATACCGAATCATACATAGATGAACTAGAAACGAAAAAAAATGGAAATCAGATCGGTCGTTTGTCTTCCTTCCATTTACTATATAAATTATCTGACTTTAATCAAACGTTGTTTTTGTTATGGAAAATAGAACACAGAATGTATACGTTCTAATCACCTGACTTTAGAGGGAAAAAAAAGAAAACAATTGAACATTATCATGCTAATAATGATTGTAATTTATCCAGCATTATTCAGCGGATGGAAAGTTTGATAAGAACTTCAAATATTCATTGAAACAAGATAGACAGAATAAGAATTAACAAGGCTTAATGTAAGAGCAATCTGCATCCATTATTGGTTTCTAGTTCTTACGAACTAAATATAAAGTACAAATCTCGTTAAATAACAATATCAAATTGAAAATAGCTTTTATAGGGATTGATTAAGCAAGGCAATCGTTTTTTCATTATGGGTTTGACAAACAAAATTTGACAATCAACAAAAAAAAGAAAAAAATGAAACAACATCCATAAATATAAAATGGAAGAAATTTTGTGTATTCGATTTTGATTGATATACAAACTATGATATAGAAGAAAAGAGAAAAAGATCAATATTAAAAAGAAATAAGAGAAAGTGGAGATACTGTTATTATACACCATATACCGTCTGAGAAACAGATGGACAGATAAACAAATAAACATATGGAATCATGCTTTTGAGTACTTGATATATGGTATTTGTTTGATTCAAACAACTGAAAATGAAATGTGACGTTTGACAAAAAATATTAAAAAGAAAATAAAAATAAAATAAATGAAAAAAAAATACAAGTTTTTTGTTTAATTTAACAAAAAAAAACAAAAGGAAGAAAAAAAATATCGCCGTGAAATCAAACTTCCGTTTCTGTATTACTACTTCCATTTGTCACCTACAAATAGAAAGAAAAGGGAAACAAATTAAAATATCAAAACATACTTTTGATATGGTCAAACTTTAAATATTATAAACGTGTTATTTAATTCGAAGCATTACTTTAGCCTTTCATCAGATTTGAATATACTTTCTTTTTTGATTTTTGACTCTCGATCATAATCTTTAATCTCGAAAGTGCTCGTTGTATCTACATTACTATCACAGTAAATGCATACACTTGGCACACTCATGTTGTTCTCAAGTATTAATCATCACTATTCCTATTGAACTCGACTAAGAATGTAATAATACCTGATTAAAATTGTTATAATTGTTAGTTGAAGCAACAAATGCATTAGTTGAAGCAGAAGAATAGTTTTTCATTTGAATTTGTTTTGCTTTATGTAGTGACCAACCACTGTGACTGTTATTATTAATGTTACTGTTATTGTTGTTTAAATAATTAGAGCATGCAGAATTTGATTCTGTTGTACTCATTGAAGCAGATAATGATCCGTTATCACACACTGTTGATGAGGAATGGTAAGAAGAAGTCGAACAGGGTGATGAAGAATTACTTTTAGAAAAATTAGTTATGTTCTGTGATGGAGTTTTGTTCGTTGTTGTTGTTATTGTTCCAAATGGTGACGTTGGACTATGATTAAATGGAATGACAAAACGAAATTTTGCCATACCAGGAGGTGATGGTCGACGATAGTGATGTGACTCATCTGGTGGAGTAATTGGATCCTTTCGACAATTATCATAACGATTTTCATAAGGATTTTCTTCTTCTTCTTCTCTTTTTTTTCGATTGATTTCATCCTGAACATCTTGCAGTAGTGTACGATTATTCTGAAATATTGGCTCCATAGTACGAGTACTAGATATTATTGATGAAGGTGTTGAATATTGTTCAAATGATGATAAAACAAATTTTGGAGGTCTATGAGAAGACGAGGAATTTCCGTCTGATAAAACATCATTCGATGGCTGACGTTTTCGTTCAATTGTTATTGGAATATCATAAACCCGTTGCGATTTTAGATTGGACGACGATAACGGATAATTTCGATCGATATTCATTGTATCATTATTGCCAGTCTAAAGAGATACATCAACTGAAAGATCTGATTGTAAATTATGTTTGATTAAGAGCTAAAGGGTATCTACTATCAAATATACATACAACAAAACATTTGAATTACCTCTGGCCACCCATTTTGTTTTGTAACGGTTGGTATTTGAAAATGTGACGTAAAGTAATTTTCATCATTGTTTTGCGGTAATGGTAAACTAATATCAGCTGGAGTCAGATGGTGATTTCTTGATAAACGAGTATGATAAGGATTCGCTTGATTATGATTTTGATTATTCGCTCTAAAACTTGTTTGTTTAACATTTTTTGGCGGAGATTGCTGCTGCTGTTGACTATCTAGATACGTTGAATATGTCTGTGTACTTATGTCTTTTTCATTTAATCTGTTATAGACCTGTTGCTGTTGATTATTCTCTGACTTTTGTTGAATGACTGGTGAATTGAACGGTAATGAGAAGCTTCGAGACAGTAAATGAGCCAAACGTGCTACATAGTCAGAAGATGGAGGAGATGTAGGTGATTTTATTTCATTTGGTTTGCGATTACGGATGGGTGCTGCAGATGAAACAGATCGATTTTCTGTATGTGAATGCTGATCATTATTGTTACTGTTGTTGTTGTGATGGTGACGACGTGAATGACGATGAGACGACTCTGTGCGTAGACAAAATACAGAATTATCTGGCGATGATGAAACACTATCCGAGATGGAATCCGAGTGTTGATGATCAGTTTGTTTGGATGGTGATTTAGTTCGTACTTTTTGATGATTAACATTGGAAGTATTCAATGGTAATTCAGTCATACTAAAATAGTACATTACAATTTAATTATTTGCAAATATTAAAAGCGTAGGTAGAGCTTCAAAACATTCATTTGAATACGTCTCAAAAAAGACATTTTTATCTAACTGAATCACTGATAAATCAAGATTTCAAAAAGCACTCTACTACCAGAGTATAAAACAGCAAGACTAGTACATACCTATTATTTACTCTTTGTTGTTCAACGTTTTTCTTCTTATTGAGCTGATTATTATTATGATCATATAATGTTCCTTTCGGTGTCTGAACAAACTGTTCAGGAATGTTATCATACGATTTTGGTTTATCGTAATTTTCATTATTGGCGAGTTTTTGTTGTTTAGGACGATTTGTTGTATTTTCATTTCTATTTAATATTGTATCATTTGAATGTCTTCTTACTGGTAATAAGAAGACTGGTGTATCGTTATCATCGTCGACGACACCGTATAATTTAGAGGCATTACGATAAATCGTTTTCTTTTTTAACGGAGATATTTGGCTATTACTATTCAATGATTGATCTTCGTAGTCACGTTCATTACCATTATTAAATTTTCCAACAGGTAATGATTTGATACTACTTGGAGAATATATCTCTAAATAAAAACAAATAAATTAAGTTCTAGTTTTACAAAAAGAGGAGAAATAAAGAATAGATATATGACGGAAGATAACATTTGTTGAACAACTCGAGAGAAATGGAAGTAATCTATCTATGACATCTCCATGTCATCTACGTAGAAATTTCAAGACACGAGTGTTTTAATGAGTTTACTTTGATCTCTAATATTTGTAATTGATTGTGATTCCATAATTGATGGTACAACTGAAATTGTATCAGCTCTCTCTGTTCTTGATGACGAATCAACATCTGAATAAATATGTGGTTCAGATGAATACGGTATACCATTAATAACTCGATGTTTGGTTATGATCGGTGTTGTTTGCTGTGAAAATATTGATTGAGAACTTCCCACTATTTCAACATACTTGGCCAGAGTGTTCAATAATCTTCCCATAGAATAAATATTATTTCCTCGAATAAATAATTGTTGCTGTTGTTGTTGATTTGACGAATGATCTATGAGTGCAAATTGAATGTCGCGCGTTTTCTCCTCGGGAAATGTCAATGTACATTGTTGTAAACATAATTTGTAATCACATTGATCTGATAGACGAGATTTATGAACACAAAATAATCCATCAACAATTGTACAGTATTTCGTCAGAAATTGAATATTATCACATGATATAACGAGAAAACCTAAAAATAGAAAAGAATTATAAAAAATTGAACTTTTCAATGCAAATAATATCTATTACCTCTCAGTTCGCAATGTTTTCTTGTTTTATCATCGACGCCGGCAACATTTGCTACTTGATCGAGCAATTGTGATACAATTTGACCCTTTTTACGATTAAATTGTTGAAACATTCGTCGAGCATTTTTCGATAAACTTTTAACACTATTATTACGACCTATAAACATAAAAAAATGATACTTTAGGAATATGATAGCGGAGACTCCATACCTTTATGACGATCAAATGAATTTACGTTATCTTTCAATGTTTGAGCGATGGAAGCATCACGAAATGCCTATTAAAAATGACTGTGGTTTTATTAAAAATTAGATTAAGAGAAAATATATATGTACCTTGAGCCAAATAGGCAGTTGACTTTGATCGAGTGGTTTCACATAAATTGCTTCTGATAGTCCAATTTGTAAACATAAACATTCTGTCTTATCAATTATTGTTGTTTGAACCTAAAAACAATATTTGAATAAACGGCTTTTCTTTTTTGCTCAGACACTCTTGATTTAATATCTCATGAGAAACAAAAAATCGCTCAATTATTTTTCTTTAACTTACTTTTGCTCCAGTAATATCTGTAACCCATAATGGTGTATCATTTGTCTTTTTGTCTGTTGTAAAACAAATTAAATCATAATCGTCGAGTACATAATATCTCCAAATCCATTTTTGATTTTCATAGGTTAGTAGTAAACCATCAGCGATTATAGAGGGTGAAGTTGACGTTGATAAACGAGGCGTATTCGGAATACTATTATAGATAACAGAAAAACCAAATTTTTAAGATAATATTTTCAGAAAATAATTGTGCTTACCTTGAAATATCATCTTTACTAACATGTGATAAATCATCTGAAAGGAAAAAAATTTATTATTGTTTAGACAAGAAAAGTTAAACAATAAATGAACTCATACTCACCATTATTATTATTATTATTATTAATAGGTTTTAATGCTTCTAGATAACCATTTTTCGGTGTATCGATGTACCATTGACTGTGACTACTGTGATTACTCTTATTGCTGATACTGGTACGACTATCATAAATATGATTATTTAAAGCATGTCTAGTCATTATTGGTGTTGATGCGATGATTTTTTCTGATTGTTTCGATTCATCTTTCTCATTTAATTCACTATATCCATTTTGACTTTTGTTTTGCTGCTGTTTTAGTTGTTGTTGTCTCTGTTCTTCTTCTTCTTCTTCATCTGTAAAATCATCGCTGTCATCGTCAAATACAATTTCTTCTGGTTGACCATCTCTAAATAATGGATAATAATGAAACACGATGTTGGCAATATTATTCATACTTACTGATGATGTGATAAGATGTTATATCTATTCGTCGTATTCAAATTCTAAAAGATAAAACCATTATAATATGGCTTTTCAATTTAATTAATATTTAGCTTTTACCAATGTTTTTTGTTCACTCGCCGTTTGATCATTATAACAACTGAGTTCTAGAATGAAAAAACATAATATTAGAACTGAATAAAGTAATATAAAACAACTGTTTCACAATATAAAGATAACTCCTAATTTAAATTAGTTGATAAAAGTATCATACATACGTTGTTTTAAATCATCAAGTAATTTATTTTGTTGTTCTTCATCTCGTTGTTTATTATTTTCATTATTCGATGAGAACTGCTGAGATGCTTTAGTATTTTTAATTAGACGATCTAATTTATCAATATACATCGTCGCTACTTGACGATGATCTTTATCCAAATGTTTATTATGTAACATTGAACGAAGAAACGATTCAAGACCGGGTAGAATTTCTAAATACACAAATAAAAATGAAAAATAATATTTTATAAAACAATTTAGAATACTTTAGATTGATTATTGATAAATGCCCGTTCTTACCATTCATATTCATATCTATAGAAGCCATTGACTCACCAGGAGTTTTCATTCGTTACGTAAAATATATCAATAACTCAAAAGAAATCAAATCAACTTTGAACAGACGATGTTATTTGTTTGTTTTATAAACATCTTCGTTCTTCTATTCAGTCTAAAATAAAAGGAAAAAGAAAAACAAAATTTATTCAAGGATAATATACAATTTTAATAACACGACTACAAAAGAAGGCCACGGACACAATAGACTAGTCTTTTGACTGCTAGTTTTAACTAATGTGTTGTTTTTTTTTGTTACACAAAAGTGTTCAGAAAATAAATTTATTGAGTCGATCTTCTTTATGCTTGAAAAACGTATTGTTTGTTGTGAAAAAAAATTTTTCATGAAGGACAAGGCTATGCCCCGCCCCGTACAGCATGAGAAAAGAAAGTGCTGAAGGAAAAAAAATCTGTACACAGCATCAGCCAACATATATGTAATTTAAGGATTTTTTTTTTGTTTGTTAATTCATTTTATGAACAAGAGTTTTACAAAACATTGTCCCTAAGGAATATTTTCAATATCGACGAAAACAATTGATCTTGTTTTGATAATATTGAACATATTGTATCGTATTAGTGTAAAAGTGACAAGGATCAGTTTGCAAACGAGAGACGTTCATCAGATTCCTTTTTGTTTAGAATTACGTCATTAATCCCTTAATTCTTTTTTTTTTCTCTCCATTTTGACATTTCATTGTCAAACTGAAAGAAAAATTTTAACTTTCTTCTTTTGTTCGATTTTTCTTTCTTTTTTTTTATTCAATAATCCAGGACAAGGAAAAATAATCGTACAAAAAGGCGCTTTCCAAGCGAAGATGGTTCTATTTATTCAACAAGTGAAAGATGATCGTCTCTTGTAAACATACTTACATACACTATTGTTGCTTATTTAAGTATTTATTATAACAGTTTTCTTTTTTCTTCTCTTTTTAATTTGATCAAAAATAGTATAGATTGAAATATAATATACAATAGTAAGGCACCTTTCTCTCTTACTTTCTCTATTCCGTTACTGTTATTGTCCTTCATTATAACGTAATTTTTGCTTGACCTGTATATTACAACATATTTTTTTCTTTTTTCCATGCTCTGTGTTTTAGTTTCTAGTTACATGTATAATGATGACACGAGAAAGGTTACGAAAAGACGCTCATACACAGACTCTCTCTCTCTCACTCACTCTCATTGCACAGTAAGTTCCATGTAAACGAAAAAAAAAAAAAAAAAAGAGAAGAATATTTCAATTTGAGTTACATTTAATCGAATAAAAAAAAAAGAAAAAGAATAATACAGACAAATTTTTTACTATTTTTTTTCTCTTTCGAAATCTGATACTGTGTTGAGTATTAGGTGGAGTAAGATTCATACGAACAGACACAAAATCATTTCTATAAACAAAATGTTTCTGAATCACAAAACTTAATCATAGAATTCAACTAATTAAACGGAGAGGAAAAAAGTGATTTATTCAAATTCTTACAGAAATCTGATAATTTTTCGCTTTCGATCACTACTACTAGGTACATGAATATTGGATTCCACCCAGTGACTGAGTTTAAAAGGTCAAGAAACATTGGTTATTTATGATCCATATCATATGTTCGTATCAAATCGTGCATAAAATTTTTAAAAATGTCAAAATTATCAGAACTTAAAACAGACTACTTGACAAATATTTAAATGCAGTAAATAAGGTGTAAGATGGAATTTTTTTTTTGAGTTTTGTTTCCTTTTTCTATGCAATCTTCTATATCCTCTATGATTTATTACACACGTATGTATGTATATAAGCAAAATATTGCTGTTTATTTAAGATTATTATATTCTGACAACTTTCATTGAAAAGAAAATATACATCAGTTTGAAAACATGACTAATACTACAGAGTACGAATGAACGACCATTCTAAATGCTATTTTCGGACAAAAATTGAAGATTTATATAATTTTCAAATTAAAATTTTGTTTACTCTATACAAAAGACGGCTTTTCACAAACTTAGCGGAATAACTGTATTGTATATCAAAATGTACTGAGTATGTTATCGGACCAGTGATTCGAGACACTACGACTTAATTAACATATCTAAGGTTATTACATAATTTGTCAGCGTCGATGTTCGAACACAGTACCTTTGAAGTATGTGACGAATAAGGTAACAAACAACTCATATTGTCTAATTAACATTACATTCTAAAAATTCAGAACAATGCGACAGAAATACACAATATATGAACAGTAAACAGTTTTGTTTTCTCCGATAAACTTGAGTAAATAACAAAAATTTACTTTTGGCTCAAGATAACTATCTAATTTTTATTTCTATAATATCTTAACGTGAGATTTATACAAAAAAATTGTTGATTGATCAAAATCAAATCGCTACTTTGTAAAAATATTGTATACTGACACTGATATAATACTAGACACATTTCATTCATGACTGAATGAATTTCTCTATCTCAGACAAACACAAGTTTTACGCCGACAAATATTGTCGTGAGATGATGCATGACAAGTTTACTTTTATTGAAAGTACTTAATAAACGGCACTTGATTTCCTCCCTTTCTTGCCTCGATCTGAATACTAATGTCCATGTTTCATACCTTTAAACACACACATGCGTGATACATGTACAAATATGTTCAGTACAAAAAATTTTTTTTTTATCTTCAATAGAATCATTCATATATTAACATTTGAGTGAAAAACATCATTTTCTTTAACCTTTTCCTGTACGCTAGTCTAAGTACAAATGTCTAAATCTACGACTGTTTGCCTTTATAATTTCCACTACTATTCTCATAGATTTCATTCATTTTTATTCATTTCAGCTTGGTTAGATAGTTCAAAAGGAACACAGTCTGTTTTTATATATTTTTCATTCAATTTTAGATGAAGAATGCATAAAATAGATAACAAAATTGGAAGTTTCAAAGACATTTACATACATAAAGTGAACTTTTATTACCTATTTCTACCTACGAATGAATATTATTGGAAACTCCAAAGGAACGTAACATTTTGAAAATAATTACAAATTTAGAAAAACTATTGAATTTGTTCAAAAACTGACCACTTTTCATGTCACTGGGAAGTTATTTATGACCATTAAAAACTAGTGTTCATATTGAGAGAAATTCATCTGAATTATTTTAACCACTTAAATAGTAAGAAGAAAAAAAGGATTAAAGTAAGAAGAAAAAAAAACTGATAAATAATTGTTGGAAATAATGTAAATGTTCTTAAAATTTTCAATTTTATTATCTATTTTGTGCATTCTTCTTCTAAAACTGAATGAAAAATATATAAAAACAAAGTGTGTTCCTTTTAAACTACTATCTAGTCAAGCTGAAATTAATAAAAATGAATGATATCTATGAGAACAGTGATAACAATTCTACGTCAATAGCACTGTTTAATTACTTTCAAAATCGAACTGAGATCATAAATATTCCCTCAAAACACAACGATAGATAAATCCCATTAGTTCTAATCTAACGTTCAGTCTTTTTGAATTTTACCTTTTAAATAGAACCTCTATTTCGTATATTAGCCTCTCTTTCAACAATAGAGTGCATGATTTATTTTGTTTGTTATATGTAAGATATTCGATTCATTGATTCCTGTTTTTGACGTAGTTCAAAACTGTGCAAAGACACTTCTTTCATTCATTCATTCATTGTAATATCGTATAAACGCTATGCTAGCAATTAAAGCATCAAAAGTTTTAACAGTTTATTTGTACAATGATAACACAAGAAAGTCTAGTCTTACTTAACTAAATGGATACCGAAGATGAAAGAAAGAAAAGTCAGCAACACACATCAGAGACAGAAACACATAGGAAAAACGTTATTCGATTCGTTTAGAACTCTGATACATGCACACACACACACACACACATTCACAATAATTAAAAAGATAATTATCGTTGACCTAGATGACAAAATTTTATCTATGAGAAAAAAAAAAGTAAAGAAAAACAATATGTTGTTCTTTTTATTTTATATCAATAAAGCAATTAAAGTGTATAAACATGGATCGATAACACTCTTAATTTAGTGACGTGTATAAAAAGATATATATCTGGATGAAATAAAAATAAATGAGAGACCATATGCAACAAAAAAAAAGAAAAAGAAACACACTGTTTAATCGTTTAGTATTGAACATCGTGAGAACATAGAATAATATAAAAAATAGTCAAAACTCAATAATCAATTCGAATATAATGATCAATTTGATAATAATGAGCATAATATTCTTTTTTTTAGTTCAAATATCAACTTTCTATGATAAAAATGATTAAAAAAAACTCAATTAAACTGAGACATTCTTCATGATGTACGAATTTTCTGTATCTAGAATTAAGTTAAATATCTATCGCTAGAGGGGCTATTAAGCTAAATTTTTGAATATATATTTCCATTTGTGATATTCAAACTGATGAAATATATTTAACATTACTTACATTCTCATTCTGACATAATTTCATTAGTAGAACAAAAATAAAGTAAAAAGAAATGTACGTTATTGTTAAAAAATTTTGTTTAAAATTTAATAATAAATGAACTAACTACTAATATCAAATTGATTTTAATTGTTTTTGTCATCTCTGTTAGAGTGTCAAAAATACATCTTGAATATTCACTTGATTTATGACATATATTCAGTTTCTTCTCACTTAATGATTCGGTCAGTCCAATCTATGTTGTTCTAATTTAATTGTGTACATACTGTATATATTCCAACTTACTTACGTAACAAATCAGCTCATTATTATTTAGATATAACGAGGAAAACTGAGATATTTATATGAGAAGAACAGGCGAAGATAACGACAGGATATTTAAGATCAAATTCGCTCTATAATTTGATCATATAATCATAATTATTGTCAATATGTTCAAATGTAAATAATCTAGACTAAACAAAATCTTTATAAAAACAAAACAAAAGAGAATCAAATAATAACATCTTCTTTCTTCTACAATTTCTAATTTCCAAGTGATCGATATAAAACATGATCGAGTTATCCATTGTTACAGTGTAGCACAAAATATTTTCCTTATTTAACATCGGATTTCATGTTTGGATAGATATAGGAAAAAAAATGCTTTTTTAACAAAAATCAATTTTTTCATTCATGCCGATAAGTTATGAATGAAAAAAAACAACAAAAAAAAAATCAACAGACTTTAGTATATTCTGGGTGTGAACTTTGAAAAGAACGCGAAAGTAGAATTTCTTATGTAAAGAATGGAATAGATATCTTTAAAGGGTATCTGTTAAACTTCTCAATCTTCATCTGCCTTTTTGTAAACGTTTTAGACTCGAAAAAATACTGATAACCTAGTCTGTACGATCTATCTGTTCAAAACGATGAGAATCTAAATTCTAATTTTTAAATTATATTCTCACTATTTAATAAACTAAAGTGTTTTATTTTATTACATGTTTTCTACTGAACCTTTATGAGTTAAAAAAATAAAATAAATTCATCAGATGTCAGTTCTGAGAAAAAACAATTGTAAAGTTCAATACATACTTTCACGAAACATAAACCATATCATTATCAACTACAAACAAATTTGATGACTTTGTTCACGGACAATCGACTATTCTTTTATGATGAGTATAAATACACACACACATCTATAACGTTTATATAGTGTTTAACATATAGAACGAGAATGAGAGAAAAAATATGGTAGAAACTAATAATCATATTTCTAACCTTTGTGACGGACATATATACGCGTATCTTCTATGATCGAACAAAAAATAAATAATTTGGACAAATAGAGGGTCAGAAACAGAGAGAGAGAAAGAACAAATTCGTTTAGTCTCATTCTTATAATTTTTCTTCGTGAAGTAAAGTGCTTTTTAATCAACAATTTTTATTTTATACCAGAAAAGAGAGGATGGGAAATATTCTTTTCTTCTTTTCAATATCTTTAGTTTGATTTAACAGAACAAAAGGAATACGATATGTTTAATAATATAGTAATTCTGATAGCCCTACCGTACAAACATACACATTTTCACACAATGTTAACATCTAATTTGAAATGTATCCTTGAAAAATTCATCTTTTCTATTAATAAAGACCTTAATTTATATTTTTTAGGAAAAAAAAATCGTTTTAGACTAAATCTCAAATGTGACCTAAACGTGTAAAACTTTTTTGAAACATACTGAAAATAATTCTGTTATATGAAGAAAAATGTTCAGTAACTAGAAAGATATGTTTTATTTCGTTTTTTTCTTATTTTTTTTGCAAAAAGAGAAAGGCCTCTCAACATCCATTTATTAATCTGTTGTACATTTCAATTAAGTAATTAAATAGAACAAATTCACAAGATGCACTCTAATCGTCGCTATTCCAACATTAATTCACTTCTGTGTCAAAGTTCTTTTGAAGATACATCATCGTAATAATTTGATCACTCGGTATATATTTCCAGTCAAATTTTTGAATATACCCAACAGCAAACAATAAATATAATCTATCACAACAAATGGTACATTCTTGTTATACAAATGTAACCTATTCTATTGGCAAACATCAAATACATCATTCACACTTTGCAAAAAACAAATAATAAAACGAGGTCTATACATGTAAATGCGATTAAGATACACAAATAAAATTAAGAATAAAATAAGAACCGTATGAACATGTTAAAGAAAAACCGACTTGTCAGAAGAGGCCGCTAAACGATATAACAAAATATTATCTTTCAAAAAAGACAACACGCTGAGATAAATCACGTATGTTAAAAAAGTATCGATATAGTTTCACAGTTTTTGTTTATCGGCATCAGTAAAAATAAATATGTTCTCGGTTTTCCTATCTCAAGTATTGATCCCAGTAGCGCTATCCGTGAGAGATTACATCACATACATTCGTTTGGTTACTCGGAGAACTGGAGTGACGTGAAATTGAGAAAGAAAGGCAAAAATCATTTGATTTCTAACTTTAAATGTCTATATTTCTTGCAAATAAAAAAAGATATGCGTAGAGAATCATAATAAAAACTTTCTAGAATATTATCAATTTTTTTATCTTACTTTAGCAATTAATTAGAAACATATCTCAGAATCAAGTTATTATAAAAAGAGAACATTTCAATTCAAAAAAGTGACACCAAAAATATTCACCACTACAAGTAATATGCGATTTCGTTCCATTACAGAAAAAAATCTTAACAAAAATAAGTAGAAGACGTTCATCTCCAATAATATAACTGTATATAATCAAACATGATGATTACAATATGTTGAATAGCTATAGACATTCTTATCTAAATTTGGTATGTGTGATATATTTCTGCAAAATAGAATAGGACAGAATCTAAGTGAACATTGTAATACTTTTATCAAAAAAGTTCTTTTAGATAAAGAAATTTTTTTGATAGAAAATAGAACACTGTGTCGATCAAATAATAGAGATTCACATTAAGATAACAAAAATTATTTCATTATTAATGACAAATCTCTTGATTGAGACTAAAAAATGTGTTACAATCTCAATCAAAATATATGAACATTGTTTCCGTTACTATTTTAAATGCATTGAACATCGCTTTCTACTAGAGTCAGTGATGTTGTTCAATTAGCACATATATACATATACATATATAGATAGACAGAGAGAGAGAGAGAGAAAGAGATGAAGATGCAACGCAATAACTTTAATATGAAACTCAAAAAATTAGTCTTTTCATAATCTTAACAAAACTAATGTACGATTCGTACTATTATCTTAAGTAATAATACAACAGAGTGTACCTTTAAATAAATTCTAATACGAGTCTCGTTCAAGTATAGTGAATACGTTGAAGAAATAATGAAATTGTCTAGTGTGATTATGTATAAAAATAAATAAATGTTTACAATAAACCACAAATAATAATGGCTAATTCCAAGATAAAATTTTAAATAAATAAAAAAAGTCTTCATAAATTTTTCGTGAATGAATGTTTATAAAAATATCACAAAAATCAAATCACAATACTCTATGTCTCTTAACTAAATTTACATGAGAGTATAAAATGGAAGAAAAATAAAAAAATACTTGTACCGTAAAAAGAATAATAATCGTTACCACACCATGTATAGTAAAATATCTACGTTATAATCAGGAAAAAAGTAAATTATGATTAAAGATGAGTAAACAAAAACAATTCTAAAAAAAATATGCGACATACTGGATTTTACAATACGATCAGAGAGTTCTATTAGCAATGCGAACAAAATTTTAACAAACCAAAAATATTATTTCTGACACGTTGTAAATTCATGAGGACAATATTTAACTATTTGAACAATTCGGAATCCATTCATACTTTATATACGAAAATAAATGCTTTGGAAAATAAGCAATTAAAGTCATACAGTTTAAAATGTAAAGCGCATTGACTCGCTATAACCGAGTTTATCTAAATTTGAAATTTGTGCTTTGATCATCGGTGGTGGTCCACAACAACAAATTAATGTTTCTTCACTTGGTAGTGGCATATGTTCTCGAATCATTTGATCCGAAACAAATCCTGTACTATATTTCCAATCCGACGTTGGTGGACGATCTACTGTATACCAGAGTCTAAAACAATCGGAATTTGTACTTGCTAATAATTCGAGTTGTTCTCGTAACAGAATATCTTGTTCCGTCTGATTTGCAAATAGTAACCAAATTTTTATTTTATCTTCTCCAACATTTTGTTCATCTTTTAATATATGACATAGAATTTGGTACATTGGTGTAATACCCGTGCCGCCAGCTATCATACCCAATTGTCGTACTTTTTTTGGTTTATACGGTTCAGGTTTGCGTACACGTATATTAAATATAGCCTTATTTTTATAAATTAAATTACCCGAAGGGCCACTCACTTCGATTGTATCTTTAATATTTAATTTATCTAAATATTGAGTCATTTTACCTAGAAAACAGAAATAAGAAAAAGAATTAACTTCAGCCAGAAAGACATTAAGTTATGTAAAAGCACACTAGTGGAAAACTATTGTCAAAAATAAATGAAACAACACTATTCTATTCAAAGAAAAAGTCTTTTTCTACCCTCTATAACCTAGCAAAGTAAGATATAAAATGTTTCCAACTCACCTTGTGGATAGACTTTGATTACTAAATCAAAATAGCCTTTCTGATCATCTGATGTTGTGGGCGTATACGGTCGTTTAACGAGCTCACCATCGATATGAGTTGTCAGATAAATATGCTGTCCGACTGGTAAACCCAAAATATGTTTGGCTGATGGTAGTTCAAAACGAAATAGTCGTGTATCATGAGATATATTCTCTTTATATGCTAACGCAAAATGATATTTGATATCGGGATTTTTCAATGAAATCAAGTTACCCTTCATATTTGGTTTTTTTCGTTTTAAATTGAAATAAACGATACCAGCCACAAAAGCCAATATAGTAAAACCACCTATCAGGGCCACGTTACCAAAACCACCGTCTGCCATTTTATCTACAGATCTAAAGTTAATAGAAAACGCAAATGGTAAAGACATGCTCTAGACAAAGTTTTTATTAGAACAGTAACTATTTCTGATTTAGGTACTCTACCCAAAGTCTTCGTTCATGGAAAGACTTCTCTCAATGATATCATCAGTTTAGACGCCAAATGTCTACAGAAGTATAAGATGAAGTGGTGGCCAAAAGTCTCGGTCCACCGTTTTGTTTTCCTTATCATATTAAAAATATGCAATATTAAAATAACTGATTAATAATTATTATCTCGGTAGAACTGTACGTGGAAACAGTGCCTGTCATGATGCCCTGAACCAAGTCAACATCAATATTTAACATAACCATATCATACATCATATTCTTGTACAAAAGATTTTTCAAAAAAAGATAACTCTTGTTCTACGTATTTCTTTTGTATATTTAAGCACCGAATCCATGCCTTGTCTGGTTCTGTACTGTGCGACTCCTCAGCTATACACACATATAATTATATTAAATTAATGTTTCTTATTCTTCAAATAATAAGCAAAACAACGATCATCATTGTATTTTAAATCAAAAGTTGATAAGGCAAACAACCTAATAAGAATACCACTTTATCAACCTTCGTTAAAAAACACACTACAACCTACGAAACTGGTGCTTTTTCTCTCGTCCTTGTAATGTAACAGCTGTATGAAAAAAATATTTAATTTTGTTTCTAATTAATTCACCACAGTATTCATTGATCAAGCTTGATAAAAACAGTCAAAGTAAAAAATTCACACGTGATTACCCATCAGCAGCTTGTGTCACTCTGTTCGTCTCAAAACAATACACTGAGAACGTTTTGAGTTTAACACAATGAAATGGCCACATTGTAACAGAAATGCTTGCAACACCAGTGAGTGCATCGTTTTTCAGAGAATCATTGGATTTTCATTTGCCGTGGCTCATACTATTTCTGACGTTTATTTGTTTTTCAGTTATTATATGTTTCCTTCTTGTACGAATAAAAAGTTGCTTATTAATCACAATAAACACGAAATCTCTGAGTAGCCGCGTTTCTAATATGAGAGCGTATTCGTTGAAACAGAGTGTGCAGATCTCTAATGACATTAGGATATACACAGTTTTACACCGTGTAAGAAAACACTGCACATTCGGAATGTTTAATTTACACTTTGTTTCTTTACAGGTTGCAACTACGAATAGAAAAAGATAGACGAAAGAATCATACATCAGCCTAGCCTTATATCTATTATACCCTCAAATTAAGAAAATGAAAGTATAATCACTCTCTCACAAAAGTGAAATAACACTGTAGCTTGAAATCTTGGAGAAATTTGATAAATGCTCAATTTTTCAAAATACTGTTTTTTTAATTCGCAGTGTTTTCGAAAATAAAACGCGTAATTTTAATAGATTTTTCGATGAAATCAAAATATAAACAGTGATAACAAAAATTCAACATTGAACACTTTTGTTTTAAGAAATTTAACAACAGCATCATCACCGTCTTCTCTATTATCCTTCCTTAAAGAAAAAAGTAAACAAACAGACAATTGCGAACTTGAGTAAAATAAATCAGCATCTAACATCAGTATCTGAAACAGCGGGCCGATACAGAGAAGTAGAAAAGATCAAATGGAAATAAAACGAAATACAAAGAAAAAACGAAAAATAGAACTGATAGAGTTGACTAAGAACATGGCTGACAGTTACTGTGAACGATATTTTGATAATGCAGTTTTGAAGGAAGACAGAGAAGAAAAACAAATAGCCTATTCTGGCAGATTATCCCAGTGTGTAATAGATACATGGAAAAATGAAGAAAAAAACCATTTACAAGAGATGAAATACGAACGTATTTCGAATGATGAAACGAAGAGTAATGAGAATGTAGAATTGGATAAAAAATGGAAAGAGCTAAGATGGTGATAAATCTTAAAAAATTATACCAGTCGAAAGTATTTATGGCGAACAGAAAGCCGAGCCACAAGTAAAGGTCTAGAAGAAATGGTAATCAAAATTCCGAGAAATAACACGTGCAGCCAGTTCATTTACAGAGTCGAGAACTGAAAGAGAAAAACCTGTCATACAAGGCACAAAAATAATCAACTTTAGGAAGAATAGAAGAAACGAAATTCAACGCCGAGCCTCATGTGAAACTAATCCAAAGTCACGGCTCAATGCTTGCAGTTTATGACAACAAGCAAGAATGCTGTTCTTGGTATTATTAATATAGCCGTGTAAAATTTCATAATGAATTTGTTTATTTAGAAGATACCTGGATGCTTCGACCTTTTACGTTTTCAACAACAGAAAGTATTACACAAAAAACAATGTAGAAAATGTAGTTGACAAGTAACAAATGTAGTTTGACAAGTAACAATAACAAAATAACTTTCCTTTTCTGTTCACAGATGACTAACACTATACTATTTTCTTTTCTTTTATATATGCGCTTATATATAAAAAAATGGTTTAGAAAACAAAAGTAAACAAAAACGTTTAGATGATAGGAGATTAATTTCACCATTACCATTAGTTAGTAACCTTTCGTCTCCCAACTAATGATAATTATGTTCAGGTTTTTCTATATATGCGCATATATAAAAGAAAAGAAAATAGTGTAGTCTTAGTCATCTGTGAACAGAAAAGGAAAGTTGTCTTATTATTGTTACCTGTCAACTACATTTTTATGTAGGACTTTCTGTTGTTGAAAATGACCGTAAAAGGTCGAAGTATCTGACTGTATTCTAACTAAAGAAATTTGTTATGAAATTATTTCACACAGCTGCATTAATAATACTAAAGATTATTGAAAAAATTGTTGCCCAAAAAAAGCAAATGTTGATTTATATTTGCAGAAGCAATGTCTCTGGCATGTTCAATCTAACGCAGATCGTGCAGTTAGATACAGTTTTGAACATGAGAGAAATCAAGGGAGGAATCAGACGTAGACAAAGGAGCAATCAAAAAGATATCAGCACTAAAAAGATAGATCTCACACTTAGGTGGAAGAGACATTGAGACATTGAGAAACAGAGTCAGAAACTTTAGAGACATCGAAAGACATACCAACACACTTCAAGCCAGCATGCAAGAAATTAGAGACAGTTAAAAATAAAAACAACAAAGCATTAAAAGAAGAATGTTTAGGCCAAAAATCGAATTGTTTATTTAAGTTACAAAAAAGGAATGTTTAAAAAGATGAGAATAAGAAATTTATCAATCAAAACGCTCAAAAACTTTGGAAACAACAAGCAGAAGAGGAACAGGACGATAGTCAGAAATGTTGACACGTGAATAGGAACAGTATATGCAACATACTATTTCTACTGCACACAAATGTGGTTTTCATTTTTACTCTGTACTTGTAGTGTGGTTTTTATTCTGACTGGCTGAATTTGTACTCATTCAACAGAGTGTACGCGTAACACTTTCGGCTTCGAACATAGTGTACCGGTACATTCTGACTCTAATTCTCATTAGAAATGCTGCTGGATGGTATTTAATTTGTTACTTTTGAACGTTTTTCACTAATTAAGAGTGATTTATATTCATCAGAGATATTTCCTGAGGAGCTATCAAATTTTGCGTACACTTAGCTTTAGAGAGGTTGTTTACAAAAGTAGCTGACTATAAATCGGATCAGCGGTTCCCAGAAACGCTAACACTCTGTCATTGATCGATATTTTGACCAACAAAGCTTCTGTCATTCACTTCCCAGGCAACTTCTATCATCCGGTTGACATATTCTAGATGTGTGACACAATCACAGTTTAAAGGCATTCACTTTAAATTAAGCATGATTCAGAAAAGTGAATGTCGGTCGTCTATTACAGTCAAGTGAATGAATAAACTTATAGTTCTTACAGTCTCTATATATACTGAAAATCAGTGTTTAATACAATGCACAGGCGTGTCAAAAGGCGAAAGAATATATTTCGTAAAACGAAAAGTGATTCTCGTATCAAGAGGAATATTTGAAAAGGCTTTCGATTTCTTACATTAGTCATAATTAGTTTGTGTTTTTACTGTGACGAATGTTGCCTAAGCTATGGTTGAAACGAACCAATCATCAGTTCTGAAATACGCTGCGAAAGTGTTAGCATGATATCCGTTGTTTCCTTTTCTGTTTATTTTGTTTTAGCTCCAAGTAGTAGCTCTAAGGAGAGACTATTTAGGTCAATTCACATTGATCATGGCTCCTTGGAGCTAAATGGAAACAATGCATGATGTCAATAGAAGCAATGAGGCAACGAGATGGAGAAAGAGAAGGAATATTTAAGTTAATAGAAGTTGCCAAAATTATCTAGCGGTACGTGGACTAAGATGAAAAACTTGTACTTATTTTGTACACTTTTTCGTTTTTGAGCAGCTCAAATTCGTTGGATGAAAGTTTTTAGTTTGAACCAAAATAAAACGAGATTTCATTTCTTGTTTCCAGCTTTTTCGGACAAGTTACCATTACTGAGATATTCACAAAAACAGCATCCTCTATAGTGTAAAATAGTGAATATCTCAGTAATGGTAACTTGTCC